TCTCTTCGGTTTCTATGGAGGTAGGAAACGGGTTTTGATTGAGAGGTGGGCCATCAAAAAGCCCAGTAACGGGAGACAAGGGCCCAATAAGCCCACAAAAAATGAGAAAAATGTTGGGGTGTTGCGAGAATCGAACTCACGACCTCTCGCACCCGAAGCGAGAATCATACCACTAGACCAAACACCCGGTGATGGTATCGGTTCCGAACACAATCTACTTAGACATTTCATGATAAAACTCAAACTTGATAACCTTCATCCGTTTGTGCTAAACTGCGGATTGAGATGATTTTACTTCCTTATAACATACGTGTACCCTATATGGCACGTTCTATTAATTTTCTGCCTTGGGGAACGTTTCTTTGTATCTCCAAGCCTAAGAATTGGACGATGCTGGTGTGTTAGTGATTGTGATCGATCGGCTTTGTTGACTAATGGTTTCGTCCAGAAAGTTTCGGGCCATTCAACCTCGGTTCCGCTTTCAAGTCACTCTTACGTTCTAATCGCGTCAACAGACGAGAAACTTTTCATCTCCGCTTGTTTAAAATTTGTTGTTAGTTGGTGTTATTTCCCCATTGCAGGTAGGTTCTTCTCCAAGTCTTTCACGTTCCGTTCCCAACACAGTTGTCTTGTTGTAATTTCGAATGTAATTTACACAGTTGGTTGCTGGCGTTAGAGGATTTGGTGGGGTTGGGTTCATGTTATGGTGATTGGTTTCTTGTCTTGGTTGCTGGAGTTTAGTTTTGTCCAAAATTTAGGCACTCATAATTTGATTTATTCCTTTGCCGTAGGTTTCTTTATACTTTGTTGCTGTTTGGAGTTGATCTTGAAGATGTTATTGGTGTCGCTGTTGATGGACGTGGTGTAGGCAAGTTTATGGTAGTTACGTTGGTATTTGTATGACGTTTTTGTTTGTTACGCCTCGTAATGTTAATCAGGCAGCGTGTCTTTTAATTAAGACGTAACTTTAGTTTTTGATACTTAGTTCGGGTTTGGATAGATTTGCTATTCTATGTACTATCTTATGATATTCAATAAAGCATCAAATTCATATAAAAAAACAATATTCTTGTTGCTCGCAAGAAGTTTATATATGAGTTGGTGTTGTAAATATTATTTATTATGTGGCCATTCACTTATGGATCAATACGTAATTAGTCAGGACTTTTCTACGTAAATCATAAACCTATAATATAAACACTATAATGAGAACGAAAAGACACTCTGATTTTTCCTCCCAATCTCTCTCTCGTCTCTCCTTGTTCTCTCTTACTCTACACTTTATTTTTAATAGTTGGTTATTGATCTCGAGTCATGCGTCCGGCTCCTCCCTTATATCATCTGTATTAAAAAAAACTAATATTTCAAATGCTAAAGGAAAACATTATTCCAATGACATACAGAGTGGAAAACAAGAGCACATACTATGTATACTATGGTCGTGGGAGATCTTGACAAACCCAGGTCTCCGATAAGCCTCCTAGAACTAGAAGACTTGGGGTGAAAGCAAATCGACAACCACGCTTTGTCCCCACAAAAATTGGGCATCTTTTGACACGAACAAACACTTTTGTTCATATGTTCAACTATTTTAATTGTGTGATTTTTCTAACTTAAAGACTCCAAGAAAGTCAAAATTGAATACGAAAGTTTTGGAAGATTTTTGTTTGTCCACATAGATATATCCATCTTCTTATATCGCTCATCATATGATTAAGAAAAACTAATTTATTCAATCATATGCAAGCATCAAGCATCTCTTCACGACTTCGAGAAATTCTTATGTCTGACGATTATACTTATTCAGGTCCAAATGATACGCAAACACATTGAAACACATTTTCTTATAAGTGAGTCAAATGATCCACATTATTGTACTGTCGGACGCGAGAATTTCTCTACTACTCAACACAGACATTTGTGGACACTTGTTTATTAAATTATTTATGTATTCCTTTCGTTGAATTTAAATTTTTCAAAAGGTGTCCTTGGTGAATGGAGTACATTTTTTAAGTACAAATGGGTGTCAATGTTTCATGGTCCAAATAAACAACTCAAAGTCTTCACGTATAACTCTTAGGCCTGGTCAATTCATTCTGTTCCAGATATGGCCGGTCCACCCAATGTCCCTATTTCATATCTCCTAGTGAGTGGAGTTACTCCATGACTTTTCGTGTCAACCATGCCTTTGCATTTCTTATAGGCAAATGCCGGCCATGCTTTCTTATTTTTTTATTTGCCTAATATATAGACTTTCTTTATTCTTTGCTCCTCACACGTTGCAATCAAATTTAACTATTGTAGTAGTAAGTTAGAGCATCCCTTCTTGTCTTCATTATTTCAAATGTCAATGCCAAAGTTCGATAGCTTCTAGCAACATTCCCATTGACCACTTGTTTCAAAGAAAAAGTAACGTAGATGGTAGATTTCAACAGTTAAGAGAGTTCGGTGGGTAAAAAATAAAAATAAAAAGTTCAAGTGGTACTGATGTGCATTCTTTGCAAGATGTGGTGGTTCTTGCGTAAAATCCTCTTATTTCAAGTGTCAATGCCAAGTTCAATAGCTTCTCGCAACACTCCCATCCACCACTTGTTTTTAGGAAGAAGTGTAGATTTTAGATTTGTATGGTAGAGAACTCATCTCTGTATTCATGATTGTAATTCGATTCTAGCGATTGAGAGCTATATAGGAATAGATGTTTCAGATAAGGTTTTTCTCGTACAAAACTTATCTATGCATTCATGATAAAAGTTCGACTCTAACGATTCAGGATTACCCCGGAATAGACAGATGTGAGAGAGTTTTTAGAGTTAGAGAAGTTATTTCGGTACTCATAACAAGAGTTCGACTCTAATCATTGGAAACTATCAACAGACAAATGAGAACAAGTACCTGCAGTAGATAACTTATCTTTGTATTCATGATAAGGGTTCAGATTCAACAATTGTGAACTATTTAGGTAGAGTGGTGTTATCCTTACACTCATTTTTACTTCTTACACATTCTTTTTAATTTCTGACCGTTGAATCGAATGAATTGAAAATGATTAAATGACAAAAATTAATAAGAGCGTATATAAAGTAAAAATGAGTGTATGAATAGAACTACGCTTTATGAATTGACAAGTTCTCTTGTTATTCAATGGAAAACTAAGAGACAAGAGTGTGTTTGTTTGGTTGGTGGATAGTTCTTAATTCCTTTTTGAGTTTGATTAGGGAGCCCTTAAACTATGATGGTTGGTTCTTGTATGGAAAGATAAAAACAAACCAACTATTTCCTTTTGACTTTCCAGCAAATGAATTGAGATTCCACTCCCCATAAAGTTAATCAAACCACTATGAATCTGGTAATGATAAAATGTGGTCGGTATTATTTACCAAAAAAGAAAATTTGTGGTTGGCATGCATTTGGTTCAAACTGACAAATGATTCCTGATTTTAAAGTATACAGTAGTGCCAGTCCATCATTTTTAATATGTTTTTGTTTTAAATTTATTATTAAAAAAGTGAGATTCCATAAACTTTTTGTCATCTCACAATTTAACATAAATTTCAATGTCAATAATATAAAACATTGTGTAAAAAATATGAAGCGACAAAAAATCCATGAAAAATCTCATTTTGAGAGATTATTCTTAACATTTCTCTTATGGGAACTATAACATTTTACATTCCATCCTTTGTTTTCTCTTTACCATACATCAAAATAATTTTTGTTTCATTTATATAGAACCCTTTGGTTGACTCAAATTTCCAAATAGTAAATTGTAGCAAATGGTCCCTCAACTTTAATCAAATTGGAGCAATAGTCTCTCAACTAAAAATCCATTACCATTGGTCCCTCAACTCATCAAATTTTGTAGCTATGGTTATTTCGTCAACTTCGTTAGAATTTTGTCAAAATGAGTTATGTTGGAAGAACCATTGCTACAATTAGGTTCACTCAACTCATTAAAACGTGTAGCTATGATCATTTTCATCAATTTCGGCAGAATTTTATCAAAATGAGTTATGTTGGAGGGACCATTGCTACAATTGGGTTAAAGTTGAGGAATCATTTCTCTAGTTGGATTAAAGTTGTGGGACCAATGGTAATGAATTTTTAGTTGAGGTACCATAGCTGCACGTTTTGATGAGTTGAGAGATCAATGATAATGAATTTTTAGTTAAAAGACCATTACTTTAATTAAATTAAAATTAAAATACCATTACTATAATTTACTCAATTTCCAAATGATACATCAACCATTGTGTACCGACAAATGTGGTGTTAAACCGTCTGACATGTATTGTCAAATGCCAAAGTGGGTCATTAGACGTTCCCACTGTTTTTGAATTAAGGAAATTCTATGAGACCGCACTATTCTTCCATTTCCAAATTATACATCAACCATTGTGTACCAACAAATGTGGTGTTCAACCTTCTGTTTATACTTATAATATATATAATTTCATCATAAACTACAAAGTAGAATGATGAAGTATTTGAACATAATGAAGACATGAGGAACAAACATATAATTTGTGTTCATTTAAGTATACAAGTCCTTAATAATTTATTGTAAAAAATAAAATGTAAAATGAAAGTTATCTATTTTTTGGTCTAAGTGAATCGCAACCTAGGCTGATCTCTAGACGGGTCTGGGCGGACTAGGCAGATGCCTAGGTGATCTAGGCGAGAGCCTCAGCAGGTTTAATCGTCTTTTCTTAATTTTCAAACGTCTAGGCATTAATCGGGACGGTAGCCAACCACCTAACATCTAGGCAGGGCCTAGTCGGCGCTAGGCATAGATTTTTATAACAATGCTTATATAAATTATAAATTTTAAATTATTCTACCATATGTAAAAGTGATTTAGACAAAAAACAAGCATATTACGGTCCCTAATTGAACTGTCATATCTGTCAGAACTTTATAATATCTTTGCTTGTGAGATTAATTGCTCTAAACAGTCACGTTTGGATCAAATAAGTGCTCTAAACTGTTAAGAAGTCAGAAACAAAGGAGACTCTTTCTGAGACATTCCCCCCACTCCCATAAATCTCATATAAAATCCTCTTTCCCAACCACCACCATTTCCTTATGTCCACTAACCAAAGTCATGTAGCCACTCCCTCCTCCTTAGCCTTCTCAACCTCCACCACCTCCAATCTCCACCCACCTCTCTCTCTCTCTCTCTCTCTCTCTCTCTCTCTAAACCTCAAAAAACCAAACCAAAATGCTTGGAAAAAAGATGGTGAGTTTCAAAGAGCTAGCAAAGAAAGTGAAGGTTATGGGAGGAGCTGAGAGAGAGCCATCACACCATGAGTATCTGCTGAGGAATTCGGAGCAAGGAGGCTCTCCGTCAGCGAAAACCCCGACTGGATTTTTGGCCTTGTATGTAGGCGAGGAGCGCCAGAGGTTTCTGGTACCAACAAGCTCCCTTTCTCATCCACTCTTCAAGATGCTGCTGGAGAAAGCTTACAATGAGTACGGCTTTCAGCAGAGATATGGGCTTGTGGTGCCCTGCAGCGTCTCAGCTTTTGAGGAGGTTTTGAATGCTGTGGAATGCAGCAATGGCAAGTTTGATTTTGGTGAACTTGTTGAGGAGTTTATTTCATGAGTCAAAAATATTTGTTTTCTTTTTGTACAAGAAATACTGAGAGAGTGATGAATCAAAATTGAGACCTCAAGTTCTAGTAGCTTAGGGCGACCGGGCCAGGCCGAGTCAGAAAAGTTTTGATTGCACAAGGTGAATGCTCTTAACTAAACTAAATTACGAGCCATTAAAAGTAAAACGTTATGTTTCGATGCTTTTTTTTTATTAGTGAAAGTGTTTAGCTTAGTGATTATGGGTTTATAATTTCAAGTATGTACTGGAACATGTTCATATTACATATTAAACATTGCTCACCTATTCAGAAGAGGTGAAGCTACTTTCGGAATGAGGATCCTCTCTGGATCCTATTTGTGAGGATTCCGGATTCCTCAAATCGTGTCCGTTCATTGTATATCGTACTGTCAATTTTCGTCATGTACTTTTCATGTTTAATTTTAAATAAAAGTATTTAAAATGATTTATAACTGTAAGATGTACGATGAATAGACACGATTTGATGATCCCGGATCCTCACAAAGAAGATCCTCATTCCTACTTTTGGTCAATTTAGGTAATCTTCCAAAAGGATACATTATTATGTTCTTTAATCCCTCTTAGTACAATTAATTGCAATTCTCAGTTCAACTTCTGCAATTTGACCTTTGAGTTGTAGTCTTAGAGCGTCTCCAAAGGACAAGGCAATTTACGTGGCAAACCTAATTTTCCTTCCACATTAACATTTTATCTTCCAATGGATAAAGGCAAGCGTCTAAAGGCAATTTGCCTCAACGGGTTTGGCGGCAAGGCAACACATTGCCTTGTTGACAAGGTGAAGGCAAATAGGGACCCATTTTTATATTATTATTTAGAACATGATTTATGTGTATGTCATGAAGTGATGTTGTCTGGGTGTTTGGTTTAGAAAAATGACTTTTTCACTCTCATTTCATTCTCCTGCACGTTTTGCTTGTTTTTGTCCATTAAATTACCGTTGATTTATTTAATCATGTGGCTAAAGCAAGAAGGAAAGTGTTAGAAAATAAAAAGGAGTTGTGGAAATCATTTCGTTTTACTTCATTAGTTGCCTCATCACTTAGAGTGACACGGTAAAATTTGAGGCACCTGTATTTTGATGATCCATGTGAACTTTCTTCAGTAGTTACCTCATGAAAAATATGTCACTCTAAGCGATGAGGCAAATACTGAAAGCAAAAGTTCACATGGATCATCACAGCACATGTGACTCAAAATTTTACCTTGTCCCTTGGAGATGCTCCAAGATCACATAATAAGGTTGCAGATGCTGTGGAGCTAATTCTGCAGATTTTCTACCACATTGAATATAGAGACCAAATTTACGGTGCAGAAGGAAGTTGTATGACTTGCAAAAGGGAAATTTAGACATGATGAGCTCGTATGTTGCCCGGGATTGGATTGGAGTTGGATAACTCTCTAAATTAAATGTGTGTTGAAGGAAGAAATGAGCAAATTTTCCAACTTGGAAGTAGGAGATGGATTAATCATGAATGAAATTTATCCCATCCAATCGCTAGAAAATGGTAGGTTTAGAAGAGATAAGTTTCCTTTGTGTCTAATCCCTTGCATTTGACTCGGAAAAAAAAAAATCATTCACTTCTACTCCACACATACCTTGAATTATATGAGTTATCAATACAAAGCTTAATACAGCAACGTGTAACACGAGTACACCACCACTGTGGCAATAATATGACGCCGTGTGTAAAGGTTTTTACACATGGCATCGTATCATTGTCATAAGCCGTCACAGTTGCGGTGTACCTGTGCCATGGAATTCCTTCTTCAATCCTAGGCACCACATGAGATGGCCAAAGACTGGACTGTTTCTCATGATGCATCAGAGATTCTGAATAAAAGAGCAATTCATACAGTTGGGCATCTCTGTAGGAAACAAATTTTGTTGTCCATTTTATTGCAGACCATCATACTACACCAACAAGTACAAGTTTGAACAATCAACTTTCCAGGGAGAGGGAGAACCTGGTAATAAACTGTAAACCCGGTGAACTGACGGGTTGGCCTCTTATAGGGCCTTCTCGTCCTTCATCGGAAAGCTGTATAGCCCGGGCCAATGGGCACATGCCTCCATTGATTAAGCTCATAAAACAACCTAGCTCTCACTCTCAACATCCTTACAACCGTTCACAAGAATGCTCTTCATGCGGTCCATCAAGTCCTGCATTTGTTCCCTCGAATGCAATGGAGACGGATAAACACAAGCACAGTTCAAGCATCCATCACGTATGGTGTCGAAAATGGCTATGGAGGGGCCAACTCCATGGGCTGAAGCGCAGCCCTCATAGTCCTCAACCCCAAGCTCTTTGTTGATTTCACTAGACTCATCAATCACTGTGTCCTCAAACACTGAGATAAAGGCAGTTCTCATAGAAGACGATGGGGTTAAGCCAGGGTTTTCAATAGCCTTGCACATGAGGAAGTTGAGGTCTGCCATGTCTGTGAAATGCTTGTTAGAGTTCTTGGCACTGGCAAAGGACGTGTAGCATCTCTTTGCCAGATCCCACAATGTGTTGCCTTCTCCGTTGATGTCATGCGTGTTCATGATGGCGGAATGATAAAACCCTGAATCAATTAGTGATGCATGCCAATCTTATTTCACCAGCACTTTTATTATTGACAATTTGACATTGTATTCATATCAATGATCAATGACTTTTAAAAACTGAAATTTAATAGTCAAAAAATTCGATTGAAGGTAAAAAGTAAGCAATGGCTTACCGAGATGATTGATAGAGAGGGGTGGATCAAGAATTGGCCGACAATCGAGTAGGGTTACAACACCATACTTCTCCCATTGATGATCGGGAAGCTGCTTAGAGGCACGGGCAGCAATCATTCCAGCAGCTGCCAAGGCTCCGCATAATTTTATATCTCTAGACTTACAACCCTGCAGTTCAAGTCACCAATAAAGCGGCCAATAAGTAATCTAACAACACCATCAGTCACAATTCTTGACATTTTCGAGTTATACCAAATCAACGAATTTGCGTTGACAATTACTTAGTTTATATAGAACCATAGATGTAGAAGTACAAAAGAGAGCTCTAGTCTTAAGTTTTTAATAATTCACAAGTATGTGTATAACCCGAAAATGTTTCAAAACCAAATAAAACTCCCGGAAAATGTATGGTTTGCTTAATGCGAAGCTTGATTGTATGTTATGATTAAGTAAATGGCTTGATTGTATTGTCCTTCCTATTTACAGACTTGAGTCCATGACGAACCCAAGGATATGGAGAAAAACTTCCGTAACAGTTGTATGCCTAGGTCAGGTCACGTAAAACGGACACATAATTATACACAACTGGCTACAGTTAAAATTTTCGTCACAGAGATGACGCATTATACGAAACTAACAAGCAACAGAAAAACGAGTAGTCTACATAATTGAGAAGAAAACAACAACTCCACGCACATTCTTATGGAAAGAGGACAAATCATCAGGCCCATGACGCCCATTCCTACTACTCCAAGGGCTTACACACGACAAAGGTTTGATGCGATAGGGGACCAAACGACTGGTCGTATAGCCCACAGGACCGCGCCCCATTTCCATTCTCAATGTCGAGCCATTGTTAATTTTGTTACCTCTTTTGTTTCTGCAACAGCACAAATGGGACCAACTACGATATTTTTTTTCATTTGTAAGTAAGGTGTTTTAAATTTTACTCTCATTGATAGCAAGTTCGATACTAAATTATTGTAGCTGATTTATTGTGAGATTTAGCCGTAATTTTTCATTTTTATTTTATTTTATTGTTATATTAAAAAAAAGAAAAAAAATACACCCTGTAATAAGTGGCCACGTATCAATAAACTGGGGATGGTTTAATTAGAGGGGAAGAATCCCCTCCGGATCTCTCCCATCAAATTTCAAAGGTTCGGATCTTTGAATCTCTAAAATTTGGAAAGAGAGATCCGGAGAGGATGTCTTTCCTTATCGAGTAGATGGATTATTAAATTGCCGTTAAAATTAGGTTCACGCGCCGTTATATTTTATAAGGAAACCCACTTTTATGTCGTTTTCAAACACATGCATGCAGTGACCCTTCTATCTTTAACAAAAATACATAAACTAATTAAAAAAAACTAAAAAAATATCAATGAAACACAAATATTCTGTTGATCTAATAAAAAATTGTGTAATTATTTATGGTTAAATGTGATATTAAAAGTGTAGAATAATGCATATTTGTGTAATTTCATCATTTAATGTTAAATTTAACGGTGAATAACGATGACCAAGAGAACGTGACTCAAAAATTGAAAACGACTTACAGCGAGCAGCCTGTGGGTATCTTCTGGGCTCAACTGTAATTTCACCACCTGGGAGCGCCTTTCGGAACTCGCGTCTTGGAACTCCAGGTTCGACAGCCTCAGCGAATTCAAAGAGTACCCCATCATGTCCACCCCACGCGCCCAAAACGGCTTATTCGCCTTCCCGTTCGGGATCAAATCTTCTATTCCCAAACTCACCTCCCCGTCTCCCTTTAATTCCCTCTCTGCCCCTCCTCCCCCCGTTGACTTCAACTCCCCCAGCAGCTCCTTCAGCACCGCAACGGCCGCCGCGCGGTCGCAGGCTGACGTGTGCAGGCGGAGCACCAGTACCCACCGCGACTCGCTTATCGCGTACGTGCTCGCATATATCACGTCCGTGTCGGATTCCACCGAAGGGTCGAGGTTTTGCCACGGGTTCAAGTTCATCTCGTGCTCGAGGATCTGATGCAACGGGGCGATATTGTCGGGGTTGATTTGAAGAATGGGAGCCGTTGACGGGAGATCGAACGGCTGGATTTGGAGGTGAGGGGTGGGGAGAGTGAGGAAGGAGTAGGTACCGGTGGCGGGGTCGAAGTGGTGTTTCGAGCGGAGGATGGGGTGGGAATTTTGGAGGTTGTGGAGGGCAGTTTGGAGATTTGAGAAGTTTGGGGGTCTCGTGAGGAGGAGGGCTAGGACAGTTATACCGGTGCCGCAGGGAACGGCTTTGCACCAACTGTGCTCAGTCCCGCCGACGAGTCGGGTCTTGGGCTCCGGCATTGCTGGTGGGTTGGGGTTTTGATGATCCGACTCCGACATGTTGGAATGCGAGAGATTAGATGAATAAAAAAATTGGTTGGGGAAATGTTGGGTCCG